CAACGCCGGAGTTGGGCGTGGGGCTTCTTCTTGGCCCGACGTCTGGCTGGGAGGGGCATCCTAAGACAGGGACCCCTTTTCTTACACGGCACCTGAGGTTTGGCCACCTGGGATGGATTCCTGCTGGCCCGTATCCAGCGGTCAAAACACCAGGACATGAGGGGGCAATTCAACCGATAACCTCGTTTGGGAAATCTTATGATGCATATATTTTTCTTGGATCTGACCGGTAACTTCTTTCTTCTTTGGACCAAAGTCCTCCAAGGTCTTCTCCTTAGAGGAGGACTACTCCTCCTTTTCACTGTGTTCCTCCTCCTTTTCACTTGGCTCCTCCTCCTCCTCCACCTGCTACTTATCAAATAAGTTTTCCTTTGCATCCTGAGAACAGCCAGATCTTGGCAAGGCTGCTTCTCCTTCTTCTTGGTCTTTACAAATCAGGGTGGGTCTCACACCAGGCGGCCCCCTTATATAGTTTCCGGCATTCAAATGAGGGCCTAGTTTTCCATTCCCTGATTGGCTAGTAGAGAACAATAGTCAAGCAAGCTACCCAATAATATCAGACTATGAGACTTTTGCTCTTGGGTGAGGTTGAAGGGAGGAGGCAGGCTTTAACGGGTTGGGGGGGCAGGATTTAAGTCAACCCCCCCCCCAAGGATGCCATTGTGAAGCTGTATTTCAAGGGGGATGTTAATGATGCACAGAGAGCCCTCGATTTACAACAGTTCATTTAGTGACCATTTTTGGATTTTTGGGGTCTGTAATGCCAATGTTGAGTTATCTTTATTTACTAAAACATTGTGACCACTCGGGGCCAGCAGAGGGCGCTCAAGGGCCATAAGTCTCTCCTTAGCCGCCTCGCTCATCCTTCATCTTATTGTTAGTGCATTACAGAAAAATGCAGACACTTATTGGCCTGGTTTCGTACGTGGTCTAATCATGGTCTAATCTAGCCAGAAGCAGCAGTCAGTCACCCACACTTTGGGCTGAACTGATCTTCCTCCATTTGGCAGAAAAAGGAGATCTTCCTAACTTGTAGGATGGCCAGGCTACAGTTCTGCAAGATGCGGGGCGTAAATTGGATTTTTTTTCTCTCTAAAAGTAACAGCAACAGGAGTCACAATCGGGGGGGGGGGGGGAGGATAAGGCAAGACCATTTGTCCCACAAAAAGGAGGCAGTTTTGCATCGCTGGGAAAGCAAAGGTGCAGGAGAACTGCCCAAGGAAGAGAGAGACGGGTGTGGTTTCTCTAAATTTTCCCCCAGGCAAAATTAAATGACACCCTTGGATTTGAATCGATTAGCAGTGCAGTTTTTTGCACTTCCTTCTCCTCTCCCTGATTGTGTTTGTGCAACCCAAAGCTTGGTTCCTGAATTACAGAGGTCTTTAACTTTATAATCATAACAGGGACCGGAAAATGTATTGTGTGCTTGTTAAGGGAGGCATCACGTGACTGCACCCGATTTAATGACCTTTTTTTTTTTTGCCATGGTCCTTACTCAGATCCCTGTGATTGTTAAGCGAGATATCCCTGTGACTTGTGACCTGTCCAGCCTGCTTCCCCTTGGATCTTCCTTGTCGAAAGCCAGCTGGGAAGATTGATTGACAGATAGATGGAATAGATGGAATAGATAGAATATAGGATGGATGGATGGATGGATGGATGGATGGATGGATGGATGGATGGATGGATAGATAGATAGATAGATAGATAGATAGATAGATAGATAGATAGATAGATAGATAGATAGAAGAGAATAGATATAAACAATAGAATAGATATATAAATAATGATAGATAGATAGATAGATAGATAGATAGATAGAGATAGAAGAGCATAGATATAGATATAAACTATAGAATAGATATATAGACAAATAATGATAGATAGATAGATAGATAGATAGATAGATAGATAGATAGATAGATATAGTGATAGATGATAGAATGATAGAAGATAATAGATATAGATATAAACAAATAATGATAGACAGATACCGTAGATATAATGATAGAGAGGGCATAGATATAGATACAAGATAGATAGATAGATAGATAGACAGACAGACAGACAGACAGACAGACAGACAGACAGACAGACAGACAGACAGACAGACAGACAGATAGATAGATATGATAAATGTTCTTTGGGGTCCTGTTCACTCTTTCTTGTGCTAAATAGAAAATAAAAATACAGGCGAGGTGGTGGGAAAGCAGACTAACGGTTGCAAAGACACCCGTCTCATTTGCTGCAAAATTGTGCAATTTAGGTAAACCAATTGCATCAATCAAAACCATTTTGGAGAAGCATCCATCAGCTTCTCTTGACCAAAGCTTTCTACTTTAGCCCAATTGTCATTTCTAAAATTCAAGCCCTTGGCTTGAGTTTGTGTGTGTGTGTGTGTGTCTGTGCTTTTAACATATCTGGGCTGTGGGCCTGGACGATGGTGGGCCTTCTGGGTTAATCAAGGACTGTCCCCATAATATGGGAGGCAAAATGACCGCCACCACCACATATCCAGGATGGCTGTGGGGTTTTCTTGGTCAGGAAATAGGTGGCCTGGTTTTTTTTCTTGTAGACGTTTCATTGCCCAACTAGGGAACATCATCAGTGGAGTGGGGTTGAAGGAAGAGGAGGAGGAGGAGGAGGAGAACAATGACTATGAGGTCCTTGGTGCTCTCTGAGCTTGTTTTTTTTTTTTCTTGCAGACGTTTCATTGCCCAACTAGGGAACATCATCAGTGGGACTCTCTTTCAGGTAAATCAGTCTCTTGGTTCCCCAGGGGACCTTGGGGGGTGCCAGGTGTCCTGGAACTACATCTCCCAGCATTCCTCACGGTTGTGCAGTCTCTCTGGACTTGCAACATCTGGAGGGCCACAGGTTCCTTGCTCCGGCTATCAGGCCCCACTAAAGCACTCTGGAGAGGGGGGGGTGGGGGCCCCAGGTTAACCCCTGCTTTGCCGGGACCCTGTCCCTGGGATGGACCCTCCCCTGGCTCCAGCTTGAGCCTACAGGTAGCGTCCCTGGCTGAGCCTAGGTGTGGCTCTGGAGGAACAAGAGGGACCGGCAGCTCTCCAGCCTTGGCGACTGGCGCTACAGC